TGTAGCTATGTAATGGAGGTGAAGAAGCGACGTATATTGGACCCAGGTCCAAGAAAGTTCTTGACCTAACTCTCTTTACGATTAGTCGTACGAAGGTAGATAGTTGGAGGGTGCTGCAGGCACCGTTGTTCTCTGACTACAATTACACAAGCTTCGACATTTTGATCTATCCCAAAAGAAATAGTAGGGTAATCAGAAAACATAGAAATACTAATTGGGAACGGTATAGGAAAATACTGGACGATACAAGGACTTACTCAAATCATATAAAAAAGAAAGGCATAGAATAAATCCTGGAGGGACTTCTGTTAGAACTTAGAGGAAACAAACGAGGTGGGCAGGCTCAGGAAACTTCTAACTAAGATTCCAAGCGCACCTTGACTGAATCAATTCAAGCGAGGTGTCGCTAGAAGACTTGGTCAGCACCCACTTTTTGGGATACATGGACTCGAGAGACCTTAATTGTGGGGGAGGTATAGCGAGTAAAATCCCGCCAAACGTCATAACTTCTTACAAAGTAGAATGTACAATGAACAGCTTTGAGCCCTATAAATCCTCGCGAGTAGTCGCATTATTCCCAGTCTTGCTCCAGAAGGCTAGTCACCTTGTGGCACCTTGGCTGAAGGCGATATTTTTGGACTGTTTGAGGCTGAGCTAAGTGTCTGTACTGTGGAGGAAAGAGAGGGTTGCCTCTAGAATACAAAGAATATGGTCTAGAGGTATTTCTGGATATTTCCGGAGAATTCAATAATGTCTCAAGTGAGCAAATTACTAAAGGACTTCGAGGGAAAAGCACCCAAGCTAATGTCGTATGCAGACGACATAGGAAGTACCTAGACACTATGGGCTGGTTTCTCCAACTCAACTTAACTTTGTTTAGCCAATTTTTTAGACTAAGTCAAGAATAAGCTGTGTAAAAGGTAGGCTAACTTTTGACTTAAGTCCAAAAAATGGCTAAACTAAGTTAAGTTGAGTTGGAGAAACCAGCCCTATCAGTAATGTAATGAACAGCGCCTTGAAACTCATTGACCAATGGGCATCTCGAGCAGGGCTGGGCGATAACGCAGACAAAACAGACCGTATACTCTTCACAAGAAGATATAAGGCCCCAGTGTGGAGATTCCCGAGGCTAGGTAGCACCGAGCTGTTAATTAAAGATTAGGGAGTAGACTTGGACAGTAAGCTGCTGTGGAAACGCTATGTTGATGAAAGGGTGAAGAAGGACAGTCACGCCTCTTATGCTTGCAAAAGAATTCTGGGAGTCACTTGGAGTCTGTCACCTGCTCTGATGTATTGGTGCTACACAGCAATCGTCAGTCGCGAAAACCGTACACGTAACACGTAGGGGAATTCAATTTCAGAACCCTGGGGCACAGCTCGACAGGAAGTGTCGTGAGCGGGAGATCAGGGAAACCTTGGAGCATCTTATCTGCTAATGTTCTGCACTGTGAAAAAACCGACTAAAATGCTTGGGAGCCTACCAATGCGAGAAGTTAGAGGAAAGTAGGGCCGAAATTTCTACTTAAATTCGCAAAAAGTGTTGACATTTGTGATGTCTACTTTAACGCCCAAAAACGGGCTCCAATCGGCAACGCTAAGGACCTACCGGTCTATGTGCGGCTCAACGCCGGCCAGATTAACCTAACCTAATCTATTAAAAATTTAAAGATGCAGATTTACTAGAAATGCGTTCAAATATGGGAAGCATATAGAATATTTCTCATTTCCAAAGTTTTCATGGACGATTTGGCTACATAAAGGCTACATTCAAGTTATGAACTAAAACTTCAACTAAAAGTCGGCACGAGTTATCTTTATCCTGCAGCCATAAAACTTTATGTATACTATGCTTTTTCCATATATTCTTGGGACAGTATAATGCATTTTGGCATCAATTCATTCGATTGTAGTTAGATGTTTTTTCCTTAAATTGGACGGTTCTATGATAAATCTACATAATTTTTTTACAATTTTTACATGTTTAGTCATTGCTGCAAATTTGAATGATAAATTATGTCAGACCAAAATAAGCAGCCTCATTGCGTAAGTCGCACATTACAACATCCGCATTGTTTACTGTCGTGCTGAAATAAGTAAATGACGAAAATTGTCGAAAACCGTCGAAAACTATGCAGTGTTGCCAAGTTTTTCGTTTTAATATACAGTCGAGTGGAAATTTTAGGCAATGACGTTATATTTTCGATACGAGTCGACTCTAGAGAAACGACTTGCATTCGACACGACTCTCGCAATTGTTTCTAAAATTTTAGCAAAATATGCATGTACTACTAGCCAATACATACATACAAATATTATTTTGAACGAATGTACGTACATACATACATATGTACATATTCAGGTAAAATGCAGCGTTGCTAATTACTCACAAGTTTTGCGTAATTGTACAGAAATGTCTTGAGTAATTGGAGAGTCAGAAGTTGACTGTTTAATATTTGATAAGAAACTTTTCAATAAACAATGAGCAAGACTAAATGACGCCTCACTGCGATGTGGAAAGGTAACAATGACCCAATAGGTTCCGAGAAATGTTTCTATTTTTTTTTTTTAGTTTTGCAATGGATGACATTTACTAATATTTAAACACTTTTGAATCAAGTTATGCATTAATAATGAATGGACTTGTGCGCGTGCATAAACCTATGGACATACATATGTATGTATGTATATGAGTAAATGACCCAGCGGGAAATTATGTCTCCATGAGTTTTGTCCCATATTTCACTTACACTTTCATCATTTTAAATGACGTAGCTAAAACATACATTTAATTATATACTGTGAACTAAGCATAAAATCCTATTACGGTTGTCGTCGTCGACATCGTTTTCATTTTTTCGTCAAATTCAACATCGACTTCGCTTCAACTCTAAATCGGTATTGTGTAAGCATATTGCGACGACGACGACGACACTTTATCAAAAAAAAAAAAATTAATAAAATAAATACACATCTTTGTTTTGGGTCTTTTTTGTAGCAACTTCTAGCGCCCGACAACGTCAGTCAACGTTAACAACAATATAACCTAGCCGATGTCCTGATATGTGAATAATTATTATAATTATCGAAATTGGCAACGGTCATGTCAATTGGTCACGGTCCATATATGTATAAGGGTGAATATGGCTCACACTACTGGATAGCGAAAAAAATGTCTTTCTCAATTTGCATTCCGACTTGCCGACCCAACATAAGAGCTTAGCCTTCTTGTAAGTTTGACTTCGAAGACTTTACTTTATGTGTTTAGATACGATTATTTTTAAGTGGAGGGAGTAAGCAAAATAGTTACCGCCCAACCAAAGACGATCAAATCTCAATTTTGCTGAATGCTATTTAGGTCATTTGCTTCTAGATACAGCAATACAGCAGGAAGCGAAGTCTGAGCTTAGTAAGTGCTTAACATTATCATATAACGTGCTCTGATGTTCCTGTTCATCACAACACAACCTGCACTGATGGGAGCAAACTGCTTCCAGGTTTGACAAGTTCTTCATATCCTGCATTTGGCAGTAGGAAGAGCCTGTAACAATTGTTATGTTGTGCTTTGTGTGGTGCTTTGGTTCAGCTTGTTGATATTTTCGGGCTGAAGAATTTTCGTAAATAGCCTGTCTGTTACCTGCCGTATTTACGGAGTAATCTTGCGCTCCTTCTTCGATGCTTCATGGTAGAACGAAGAAAGATACTAGTGCTATGAATCTCTGTTCTCCTTCCCTGGCCAATTTTGCCACCTCATTGCCCATGATTCCGCTATGTTCTCCTACCCAAATGCAGTAAACTCGGATTGCGGTTATTTTGAGTGTTAAGCGCTGACAGCAATCCCACGTCCGCTTTGAGGTGATTTCGTGTGCTTTCAAGGCATTGTAGATGTAGCGTATGTAGATGTGCTGACCCACTTTCTGCATATACCCTCAGGCATAGTTTAATTGCATACGCCTTGAAAGGCAGAAAAGGAGCATTGAAAATGACCCTGCTAGCTCGGAACTAGTTCAAGTCTTTTTTGGAACCATTTCGGGTTTAGTTTGGGATACAGATGTTAACACATCAAATTTCATTAGTATCTGGTACTCACGCCTTTTTTATTTAAACCGATATGCGTACATACTTCAACCTTTTCTGCACCCGACTGGCCAGTCGAAAAAAATATTTCTCCAACAAATGATGCTGAATTTGTCAAGCATCGGAAACGAGACTTACTAGACTAGCTCTTAGTAACTACTATACCTGCTGTACTAAAGCGTTCACATTGAAATGGGCTAAAGGCAGTTTCCAGTAGGGTTTGAAAGATGCTTATCTCCTTAGCGCTCGGTGAACAGGTAAATATACATATGTATACAAATGTTAGTACATACATATTTGTATGTGGGTGTATGCAAATACATACATATATATGTACATACATATCTACTCATGTGAGTAAAGATTCTGTATATATAGGTGTGTACGGCTGTCTTGTTTGTATGTATGTACGACTGTTTGTATATAAATAATTATGTAGTAGACTACTAAGTATTTACTAACTAGCTAAATCATTTGCTTATAAGTATAAAAACAATATGAAGAAAGCTTCTATAAGCTAGCAGCTGGAATGTATGTATGTATGTTCATTTCAAGTTATGGACGACACTATCTGTTGTCAAATTTGATAAAACTGAAATGAAACGAAAAATCAATAAAATTTCGTTTCCCTGCACTAGTGAGCTACTAAGATGAATTTCAGTGCAGAAAGATAAAAAGGCTGCCTTCGAGAGAGGAGGGAGAGTGCAAAAATGGAGCGATCCGGACAACCACAATTTCTCTCCGCCATGTCAGGGAGTACTCAAAGTGGAAATTCGCCGTAAAGTTGACCGCCGATGTCGGTCCGGTTTTAGAAGCAATTGAGCGCCATATGGCGGCGGTGGTAGTGTTGATTGTATGTAAAAATGCCACATTTGCCTCTACATAGTCGGCCATCCTGCTCTGACTAGGGTTATATCGGTGGTGATAGCGTGTCGGTAACCAAGCAGCCGCATTGCTGCTACACTCGCAATGTCATCTCACCGTAGGCACATTGAGAGCGAACATTTCGAAGCGCTATCGGCTGTAGGTTGTCGACCGTTGTTTGACAGCTGCAGCTAAGGAGCATAGTACTCATAGATTTGACTTGACTTGACTCTCGTCTATGCCTTGTAGTTGTCGTTGTCGTTGTCGTCGTCGTCGTCGATACTCTTTGTGGAATACGGCACCCGAAATACAAGTATAGACTATGAAAAACAGTGAGCGTGCCGTAAAAACGCTGTGCTATTCGCCATACGAGAGCCGTGCCCGCTTCTAGTAGACATTGAACTTTAGCACAACAAGGTGGTTAATATTTGGAGCGGCTGCCAAAATGTTTTGTGTATTTGCAAGAAGAAATTGAAATTAGTCAAACTGAAAAAGCACAGTCACAGTCACAGTCACAGTCGCAGTCACAGCTTGGGCGCATATACTATACAACGGGCAGCGGTAGTAGCTAGCACCACCACACACTAGCCAAGCCAAGGCATTAGCATTCAATTAAAACAAAGAAGTGAAGTAGTTAGTGGTCGCAGCTGCAGTTACACAAAAAAAGTCTGAATGTGTGTACTCGTTTGAAGTGTGAAAAAAGGTGAATATAAGTATTGGAAAAAAATACAGAAAAAGAATTGAAACTAATATTTGAAGCCATAATTCCAAAAAGTGTATGAAAAAGTTTGCTAAATGTGAAATAAAAAAGGGCAAAAAAGTGAATACGTATAGCTTTTCATGTAGTACAGATAAAAATATGTATGTATATACAAATTATGCACATATGTATGTATTTATACATATAATCGATAATACATTATAACAAAAAGAAACGTATTATGTGCTGCGTAAAGTTGAATAGAAATGAAAAATAGTTGTCTTTTTTATACAAAAGCAATTATTCAATTTTTCCCCAATGAAAATTGTGTAAAAATTTTGTATACCCTCAAAAGAAAACCCCCCTGCGTGAGTGACGTGAACTGAAACTCGTGCCGCCCCTTGTACCGCTCAGTAGCGCTCTCACGACACCGCTCCCTAAAGTGTGCGTGTGAAACTTCGCATTGCTCTAGCTTGAACGCGAATACATTTTTCAACTTCAACTCGGAAGCACCTCATTGGATCGAGCGACATTATGTATTTTACTGGATGATGGGCGCTTAAAAGTGTATAGTATGTGTGTGAGTGAGTGTGTGTGTGTGTGTGTAAATGTAACTACTCCTCACCTTTCGTTTGTGCTGACTACATCCATCCATATATACATACATACATATGTATGTATGTAGTGGAGTGTCTGGGGAGCTCCGCCAGACGACTGACTGCACTGCAGAAATCATCGCAGCAAGAAATAATTCGAACCAGCCCAAAAGGAATCGAACGGAACCAGAAGCTAAATGAAACGGCCGGCAATAGAACGTTAAGTGCGTGTGTGCGTGTGTGTGTATGTTTTAGGAATTGGGAAAAACGCTGAAAACTTGGACGTTTATCATAAGAATATTAATACTCCAAACAAAGAGACATTTATATTTGTGTATGTATGTATTTACATAAATGTGTGCGTGAATGCATCCCACACACACACACACACACACACATCCGCCTATTTAGAAAATGTATTTTTGTATGCAGCTTTCATAGAATTGACTCGTTGAAGTTGAAGCGCAGCGACACACATTTCTAAATAATCGTATCTTAAAATTATATCTAAACCCAATTACTCAGTTTCTCGCAGAAACCGAAAGGTAACATAAAGAAAAAAAAAAAAGTAAAACACGAATTGAGCAGGCACATCTACTCAGCATTTTCATTGGCTTATCAAGAGCGTGAAATTGAGAGCGCGCGTCGCCATCGCTGCCTCCTGCTCTGAGTTCAAGGAATGTGAGAAAAAACTGCACGAGTACACCCGACAGGATAATACCATACTAAACAGAAAAAAAAAATTTAAATAGCAGCAAAATTGAATGGCGCAGCAAAAGAACAAGTCGAATTGGAACTGGTTCAACCTGCATAGCAAGCTCACTATTGAGCGTGTTTGTAGCGCTGCGACGCTTTTTGGCACTTTGGCCTTGGTGTGTTGTCGAGCTTTTACGCAGGTCCTTCTTTCTGTTCAACTGCTGCGTGAGCGCGTGTTCTAAAATATTCGCCGTGTAGCTACAGAAAACACACCTTCCAATTATGCACTACATACATCTGCACTATGCAAGTTTTTTTCAAAACGATAATAATCATAACTACAAGGATATTTTACTTATGATGATGACGGTAACATGCATACGTGCTCACATACATACATACATATGTATAAGGAGTAGGAATTTGTGAATATGCTGCTGGATACTTTCGTAGATTTACGTCCGGTATGAATATGTTCAATTCGCCGCGATACGCATCGAGTACCTCCCCCCCCAAAAAGGGTACATCTAAAAGTATATATGTACATAGATATGTATTTACATAAATATAATAAATGACTGCTGCATGGCTAAAATATGGCAAGGCTATTGCTCTTGCATATTGCTAAATACCTACAAATAAGATTTTGGAAATAGATATCGAACAAAGCAAAGCCTTGAAAGCATAAAGTCTCTTTCAAAGAAAAATTAAATTACTAAAGCTATTCTGATTTGAAAAACTTCTTCCGTAGTTTAATACAAAGTCCGAGATCCAGGAATATAGGCTATGTTCAAGTTTCTCTGGTCCGCAAGGAATTTTTCCTTATCAAATTGAGTTTTAATTATTCCAGTTAAAAAAATTATTGGAATTTTAGGGAATAATTTAAAGAATTTTGGGGAAGTAAGGTCAGGAATTGACCATTCAAATGAATTTTTACCAAGTACTCTATTTTGGTTGGTAATCTTTTGCAATTTTTCTGATAAAACCATAACGCCAACACTGTAGAAATTCTTTAGTTCCTGGGCAAAAAGCTAAATTATTAGATTTTCACAAGGCGATATTGAAGTCAACTTAAAGTAAGCGAGGGAGTCCTGCAGAGATTGGAGCAAATGATAAACTGGGGGGAAGAAGGCCAGTGCCATATTCGGTATACATAAAAACTCACCAGCCAGCTTCCAAAATTTTAGTGAAGTCAGCAATCTTGTGTGTAGCCTGGTCTGATGGAGCACAAACCTATTCTGTTGATCAATTAAAAGAAGTATTCTCGTATTCTAAGTTGTCTAAAAGTGTAGAAAATTATTACAGCTTTTGCGTTCTCTTACTCAAAAAACGTGCAAATTAGGGGAAACTGAGAGTGCAAATTACATTTAGTCTGTTCGAATAAATCTCAACTGAAAAATATCCAAGTCCAGTCCAGTCCAGTCACGAATACGTTTTAATGCCCGACTTTGTCATTACAATTTTCTATTAGAAAAACACATTTTTTGTTTTTAATTTTTTGATGTTGGGTTGAGCCGCGCTTGAACCCAGGCCCTGCGTAATGGTAGCGCGCAATGCTAACCACTTCTTTCCGTGTTCGATTCTAAATTAAAGGCAAAGGGTGAGAAAATGTTGTGTTCATTTCTTAAAATGTCACACTTTTGTAAGGCAAGAAAGGCAATACTCTGCCCTGTGAAGCTTTGTCAGGGGAAATGGTTGCCCTGAAAATTAGATGGTTGTTTAAAACGAAAATATTATGAAATGCGTGACCTAGACAAGGACAAGAAGGCAAAAACATGCCTCTTTTGCGCCGGGGAAGGGCAACACTTTTTTTGGAAGAAACGAAATCACCATCATAAAACTTGAAAATAATATAAATTACATATAATTTTTAAGCAAAAAAGAAAACCGACTTCAATTCTCATATAAAAATTTAAGATTATCGTTAATTTCTTCACGATCCAATTAATATAAATTCTCAGAATTTTTGCTAATGGACAATTTTCATCCAATTCCACCAAACATTCCGTAGAGTCAATACCGGTTTTGCTATCGTTTGCGTAGTTTCATCTTTAATGGTCCACCATGATTCTTTCAACAGCGAAAATTTCTCGCTAATAACTCAAAAGGCATAAGTAGAAAAGTTAGTAATTTTTAGTAATCTTTTTTTTTATTTAGATCTTGGAACATTATATTTAATCAAAAGTTATGTTGCTGCCTTTTCGGGTTACAGCCTGTTTCTTGGAAGGTCGTTAATCAAGCCTGTGCCATTAAATAGCTACTCGCTCGAGGCGACAAACTGAAACTTGAAAAAATTGTAAATTATTTTCGATTGATGCTGCACCAGTTGACTTTCAGTTATATTTAGTGTGCCTTATTTTAATACCTTTTTGAGAATTGCATCGGGCTGCAAATGTCGGATGTATTCTCCTAACTTTCATCTTCATAATATAGCATCATGGTAAGATCGTTGTTTAAAAACAGTTGTTTTTCAAAGCGTTTTTAACTCTCTTTCCTTTGGTTGTTTCAGAATTTGGAGAACCTGTAACGTACGAGGACAGTTTTAATATAGCATTTCAAAAAACAAAAAAAAAAAGGCTACAATTTGTGATTTTGTTTGCCAGATATACGTTTTATCAGTGTTCTTGCACAATACTCGCATTCGCAAGAGCTTTGCATTGATTATTGCGAATGCGAATGTTAAAATTAATGCGGAAGCTCCGCGGATGCGAATGCGAATGCGAATATTCGCAACAACCCTGATATGTACATACTTATCTTCATAAAACGTAACCAATGAGGAAGTCTGCACAAACTGTTTCGACTACTCTTTGTACGCAATTACATACATACATATCGATAGCTAAGTGGAAGATCGGCTTATTTGGTAGCCGATTCGAAACCGCTTTATCTCAGAAAATGGCTCAAGAACGCCCTACTTTAGAATTTGGTTGAAGAACGTCCTATCTCAGAATTTCCTTAAAAAACCCCCTATCTCAAGTGGAAATATATAGAAAATATATTGATAAAGGGCGTTTTTCAATCCAATTCTGAAATAGGGCGTTCTTGAGAAATTGAACTGGCTGCCGAGATAGGTCGACCTCCCCCCACTCAGCTGTCGATATGTAGATCAACATAATTTTAATTTCTTATCGAAGTCGCTGAACTGAAAGTTCTTTCACCGGACACGATAGATAAATTTACCAAATACTCCCGATTGACCAACAAACAAGTTCGTTATGTTGCATTGGCAAACTAGTTTAGTAGAATTGTTTGAGTGTAACTTTGCCGCCACTGAGGACAAGTAAACTCCTGCATCTCCATCTATTTTCCACCACTTCCATCGCTGACATCAATATCATTTAAAATCGTTTGTTATGGTAAACCGCGTTGCTGAAAAGTAAAGTATGTGAATTTTTTTCATGACTTTATAACGGTAGAAATCAGATATACTACATATTTTAAAATAGTTTTGTGCCGTTTTTACAGGTTACCACAAATTGCACATGTTTGTAGCTGTTTTAATAAAAATGTAACTAATGTAAAGGAAGTCTTTTAAATGCCTTCATTTAAATGCATATAAACTAACTGGATGAAAATCCGTCTTTACTCAATTAACGAAAAATGTAAAATTCGCAAAATGGCTTTTAAAAGCTCGAGAATGTACCCGGTTTAAGAATATCGAGGCCAATCGCGCTAATGAAGCGCATTAAAGAATAGATGAGATGGTGAAAAGCAAATGTAATTGTTATATTGTGGTATTTTATCATTAATCAAGAGTCAGTTTAAAAATAATTATGATAAGTTAAAATATAATAAAAATGCTTAAGCTTTTCGAATTTATTACTCTTCTGTTATACTATGTATTAAAAATTGAGGTTAATTGTTAGTTTCTTCTAGTAAATTTATGCACATACATACATACTTAGTACATATGTACATGTGGATATCGATTATCTACTTCAAAACATGTTTTTAAAGAATACCGTGACCTATTGGTGATTGTGCTATAATACTTTATCTGTTTCTGTTACATACACAAGTATGTAGGGGGTCGAATTAAGAATGTGTGGACCCGAGGCTGTTATACATGTGGGGGACCCTTTTTGAATTAATAATTCCATAAAATAATTAGAAAAAAAAATATATATTTTTTCATTTTAACAGTATCGTTAATTATTAACTTTATACCACGTCTATTTGATGCTCATGTTGCATGCAGTATTAAACGACTGACCTTGGCAGTCTCGTTTATGAACAGAGATGGAATAGTATGAATATTTTGTCTTTTTGATCCGGCTTATTATATCTGCCTCTATTTTTTCACCTTTCAAAGTTATTATTTCCCTGCAGGTTTTTGATAAATAATTCAAGTGCCCACGTCCCTTATTTCCCTATTCTTTGATATGTCCGGGGGTCATTCTAAGCTATTAGCTCCAGCGCCCCACGGAAATTTCCATTATTGGGTGAATCGAGAGTCTCACCAGAGCCAGAAGAAGCTAAGCTAGGTTCCGCAAAATGTATTGATGGTGCTGACCCATATCCTAATATGCAGTGATATGTAATCTATGAAAAATTATTTTTTTGTTCTTTCGTCATGTCATGTGAGGGCCCTGGACCTGTTTTTCCACGTAACATTTTTACCCTTTGATTTTGGAAATGGGATTGAAGTACTATATTCTATATAGTACATAATATAAGCCTTGTTCCAGGTACTTCACGATTTGGGGGTTTTACGGGATTTCCGTTAATAAATTTTATGGAAGGTGGCGACCTGTAAAAACTTGCAAATCGTGAAGCACTTGGCTCAAACTTATAAAGAAGACCCAGAGTTATGAGTTTTCGACATTTAGTATCTGAAAGGAAACTCAAGAAAATAATAAATTTTTCCGCTGAATGGCGTTTTATGCTAGAAAATGATTGTTCTACACTTGTACAATTTTTTTTCTAACCTCGAAACACTTTTGGTACCTTTGACCGCCATATTGGATCTGCTATTTTGAATTTTGAATATTTGGCTTCATAAACGTCACCAGTGAACGAAAAACCCCTGTATTTCAAGGTAAAAGTTAATCCGTCAATATTTATAAAAAAATTGTAGTCACATAATGTTCGCTTAAAATTAAAACGCCAAAAAACAACAATTTAGTTCCTAGTGCCTTCTTCTTTCAAATTTCTTATAAATAGATAGTTAAAACATGAAATAATTTGCAATAGGTAATGTTGTGGCAGCACTGAATTTACGAGAATCAGCATTTAGAAAAGACTTTTATCGCCTATCGCCATAGTGTCACTTCTACGCCACTGTTGAAAGTTTATTAGACATTAAGTAAGTGGCATATATATATAAGCAAATCTCACGAGTTGTTTTTTTTAAGTGTCACTCCCTGTTTTCGGCAGAAAAATCGCTGAAGCATTTTTCTTGCATTTATTTCAAACAATGGAGTTCCAGAACCAAGCAATATAAAAAATATAACAAATATTCGAACAACTTTAGCCTTAAAACGTTTACTTAGGCTTAAAAGTACCGAAATTACAAATT